CACACCACACACACCACACAATGCACACAACCAAACATACATGCACACCACACACCACAATGCACACACTCCACAGACACACATACATATACACAGTGTGCCTATAGCCAGAAATATCAATGCACCTATTGTTGAGTTATGGGAGAGAGGATGGAAAGGAACTAGAATTGTCAGCTACTGCAGTTGAATATGTGAAATGCTACAGCAGCTTTGGAAAAGTTTGGCATTACAATGAAGCAAAACAGGTGTGTACCATGCCACCAGTGATCCCACTCACCCCCAGAAGAACAGCAGCTTTACATTTAATGAGTTTGAAATGACCCAAATGACCATAAATAGCAACAGCAGAAGTAGGGATACCGTAGTAGGAAGAATTGAGGAAGAGACTTATTGCTGCAGGCTGTGTGAGACAGGGTTTGAAGGACAGACACAGACAGGAGTTCAAATGTGGCTCCGTCTGAGATGAGTTCATGAACTGACAAGGTCAGGGTTACAGGAGGCCAAAGCAGTGGAGTGTGTGTGTGTGTGTGTGTGTGTGTGTGCTTGTTACAGTTTCTTTATGGTTTTGATTTGCATTCCTCTGATGGCAATAAGCTATGTAACATCGTTTCACTAGTTTCTGGCCTCTGGGGCATTTTCCTGTTCAGTTTGCCTTCCCGTCCTCCAAATAGCTAATCGCTCTTTTCTTTATTGATTTACAGTTCTTGTGTGTATATTGTACTCTAGTCCATTGATTTGATGTATCTTTTCTCATAATTTCTCATCTCACTTTTATTTGTTTAGAGAAGTTCTTATTTTTGAAGTTTGGGATTTTGTGTGTGTGTGTTAAATGAGCTGGGTGTGGTGATGCACACTTTAATCCCAGTATTTGGGAGGCAGAGGCAGGGGGATCTCTGTGAGTTCGAGGCCAGCCTGGTCTACAAAGCAAATCCAGGACAGCCAGAGCTATTATACAGAGAAATCATATAAAAACCACTTTATTTTTTGTTTATGTGTATGAGTGGCTTTTTTTTGGGTTTTTTTGGTTTTGTTGTTGTTGTTGTTGTTGCTGTTGTTGTTTTTCCAGACAGGGTTTCTCTGTGTAGCCCTGGCTGTCCTGGAACTCACTCTGTAGACCAGGCTGGCCTCAAACTCAGAAATCTGCCTGCCTCTGCCTCCCAAGTGCTGGGATTAAAGGCTTGCACCATCACTACCAGGCTGAGTGTTTTTATATGAATGTATGTATGTATTCCATATGTGTTCCTGGTCCCCGAGGAGTGTGGATTCCCTGGAGCTGGAATTACAGATGGTTAATTAGCTGCTATGTAGGTGCTGGGAATCGAACCCAGTTCCTCTGCAAGAGCAGCAAGTAACCTCTCCAGCTCTAATGGGGTTTGTTTTTTAGGTAATCTTTACCTGGGCTAGAGAGATCGCTCAGTGGTTAAGAGCACTTGCTGCTATTACAGAGGTGTGGTTTCCAGAAACAACATGGTAGCGTTCAACCATCTGTAACTGCAATTAGGAGATATCTGATAGTCTCTTCTTGCCCCTGAGAATAAATAAATCTGAGAGAGAGAGAGAGAGAGAGAGAGAGAGAGAGAAAGAGAGAGAGAGCACATCTGTACTTTCTTTAAAAAACAAAGCAAGAAGCCAGGCATGGTGCACACTTAAGCAGAATCTTTTGGTCTACACAGAGAGTTCTAGGCCAGCTAGGGCTACATAGTGAGACTTTATTGGTTTTTTTGTTTTGTTTTTTGGTCTTTTTTTAAAAACATCGTTTTAGGAGGTGGGGACTGGTAAGATGGCTCAGTGGGTAAGAGTGCTTGCCTCCAGACAGATGGCATAAGTTAGAGCCTGGAGACCTGCATGGGAAAGAAGGAAAGAATCAATGTCCAAAGGTTGCCCTCTGACCTCCACATGATCGCGGTGGCATGCACACACGTACACAATCACCCGCACATCCACACCACGCGGCAATGTAATTTAAAAACAGTTCTTCAGACTAAAGAAACATTTTCCTGCCATGTCACATAACGTTCTCTTCTAATGGATTTTGATTAACTGCCCTCCATCACTGAGTATGTAATGAGGCAGGATCTAGACCCATTTCCTTCATATGATAAATGGAAATCCAAAGGGCTTTTATCTATTTTTCTATCTGAACTTCTAAGCTCAGTCTAGCTGTTACTTTTGTGATCGGAAGAAATCACTCTTTAAAAGCATACACGTAACATAAAATGGGAAGTGGACTCTAGCTGTGGTTGCGGAGCTAGAACTTAGGTCTCTTTGCCCACTTTGACCTCCGCCTCGCTGTGGATAACTTTTCAGAAAAAGCATTTGGGTGTGACTTGGGGTTCTGCTGGGGAGCATCCTGGGGGACAGTGGGTCCCAATGGCTCTAGGGTCCTCCTGTATAGCTGGGGAGATGACACAAAAGGAATTCTTTTGAGGGTCCCAACAGGAGACAGGACTTGGTGAGCCTTTGTCTCTCTGAGAGGGACTGTGACTGCATCTATCATAGAGGCTGTCAGGGCATGGAAGTAGGTTGCTGCCTTGAACCTCTGACACTGGCCTTCTCCCACAGGACAAGTTTCCCACAGGCTCACCGCACTGAACAGCAGTACTCCCCTGTGAGGACAGAGATGGCACTGAACCTGGAGTCTACAACAAGCTTTCCCATGCTCACCATGTCCGGAAGCACTGTGTCTGAGCTGCCTGGAGGCTCCAACGTGTCCCTCAACAGTTCCTGGACTGGCCCAACAGATCCCAGCTCCCTGAAAGACCTTGTAGCCACGGGTGTCATTGGGGCAGTGCTCTCAGCCATGGGTGTGGTGGGCATGGTGGGAAATGTGTACACTCTTGTGGTCATGTGCCGATTTCTGCGTGCCTCGGCCTCCATGTATGTCTATGTGGTCAACCTGGCACTGGCTGACCTGCTGTATCTGCTGAGCATTCCTTTCATCATAGCTACCTATGTCACTAAGGACTGGCACTTTGGGGATGTGGGCTGCCGAGTTCTCTTTAGCCTGGACTTCCTGACAATGCACGCCAGCATCTTCACTCTGACCATAATGAGCAGTGAACGCTATGCGGCAGTACTGAGGCCTCTGGACACTGTCCGGCGCTCCAAGGGTTATCGTAAGCTGCTGGCGCTGGGCACCTGGTTGCTGGCGCTGTTGCTGACCCTACCCATGATGCTTGCCATCCGGCTGGTCCGTAGGGGCTCCAAGAGCCTCTGCCTGCCGGCCTGGGGCCCTCGTGCCCATCGTACTTACCTGACACTGCTCTTTGGGACCAGCATTGTGGGGCCTGGCCTGGTCATTGGGCTGCTCTACATTCGTCTGGCCAGGGCCTACTGGCTATCTCAGCAAGCTTCTTTCAAGCAGACACGGCGGCTACCCAACCCCAGGGTGCTCTACCTCATCCTTGGTATCGTCCTTCTCTTCTGGGCCTGCTTCCTACCCTTCTGGGTGTGGCAGATGCTGGCCCAGTACCAGGAGGCCATGCCACTGACGCCCGAGACTGCGCGCATTGTCAACTACCTTACTGCCTGCCTCACTTACGGCAACAGTTGCATCAATCCCTTCCTCTACACTCTGCTCACCAAGAACTATCGGGAATACCTGCGCGGCCGCCAGCGGTCACTGGGTAGTAGTTGCCGTGGCCCAGGGAGTGCTGGCAGCTTCCTGCCCAGCCGAGTCCACCTCCAGCAGGACTCGGGCCGACGCTCGCTCTCCTCCAGCAGCCAACAGGCCACAGAGACCTTCATGCTGTCTCCAGTTCCCCCTAATGGGGCCTTTGTCTGAGAGTGCTCTGTGCGATCCTGGGATTGGAAAGGACCTAAAGGCAGGCCACTCAGGAGCCCATTCCCAGAATCCCCTACTCAAACCCAACTCGCTTGTCTGTCTTCTTCCGTTCTCTTCTGGAAAGTTCCCTGTTCTTTCTTCTTTGTTGCTCACTTCCGCTCTCTCAGCACCTTCCCCAGGATGCCAACACATTCCTGCTTCAAACCAATCTCCGAGGGGCTTCAGAAGCTGTGGCCTAGACCCTCTTCTGAAGACCTGGGTGAATCTAGGGCCTAATTACCCAGAGCAGCTAGTACAAGGCTGTAAACTGACATTTGATGTAAGCCCTTCCAGCCCTGAGGACCTTCCCCCATTGGCTGATAAGGGGCCTGCAGGCATCTCCATCCTCTCCCCACCCATCCCATGGTAGCTTCTTGCTACCGTATGCACATGGAACAATAAACCCTGTACGCTGAAGTGTGTCCTGCCTCAGTGTTGGGGGTGGAAGTTGGGGTGGGGTGGGGGTCCTGGACCCAGGCATCCCCAGCATGAGGCACCTGAGTATCTGGTGAGGTTTCCATGCCTTTGCCTGTGGATATCCCTACATGGAAGCCCTCCCCTGTACTTAGGGTGGGAAAGAGGGCAGGCAGCTGAGAGACATGAGGGGCTGAGGTGGGGTGGGATGATTGGGAGATGCTGCCCAGCTAGTACTGAAGCTCAAGTACAGGAAGGAGACCCCACAGGCCGAAGTTCTCCTAGGAGGCAGCACAGCCCACATGTGGCTCATGTTGACGTGATGAGGTCTTGGCGTCACTGTTCCTAGATAAACTGTTTCCATGTCCTAAGTACTGTCCTCGGAACATCTTTTCCCTGACTGCCCATTTCTCCTACCATGGGCAGAAGACAGCTGCCCACCCTTTTCAGGGTGACCATCAGAGGCTGGGACAGCACCTTGGTCTGCTAGTACCCTTGCTGAATGTCAGGTAGACTCTGGTGGCAAGACATGGAATGCAGGTCTCTGCAGTGATAAAATGTTCCAGAAGCAGATCCTGGTGTCTGGCCACAGTATTTTGTGTTTTTTTATTTTGCTATTAAAAAATGAGGGAAACACATGATACATGAACACACACACACACACACACACACACACACAATTGAAGGGGTTCAGCCTGAAATCCCAGGAATTGGGGAGGCTTGAGGTCAGACTGTACTACTTATCAAAGACTTTCTCTCTAAATTTAAACAAAACAAAAAAACATCTTTTTGAGACAGGGTCTCACTATGTAGTCTCGGCTGGCCACAAACTCATTATATAGATAAGGCTGGCCTTGGCCTCACAGAGATCCACTTGCTTCTGCATTCAGAGAACTGGGATTAAAGGCATGTGCCACAATGCCCAGCTCCAAATAAACAAAAATTTAAAGGTCTGGGAATATAGCTCAGTGTCAGAGCACTTACTTAGCATGTGAAAGGCCCTAGGTTTCACCACCAGCTCTGCAAGACAAAACAAGACAAAACAAAAACAACAACAGACTAGTAAATTCACTAGAGGAGTTGGTGGGTAGTGGAGCCCCCTAACCCTGTGCTCCTCCTCTTTTGCCCCAAGCCCCACTGTCTCTTATACTGGGCTTCAGCTTTAGAAAGCTCCTTCCTTATTGCCAAAGCCCAATCCTGGTCTTGCCTCTAAGAACTCAGAGCTGGGTCTCTCATTAGGGGTCCAGGTTGGTACCACCTTTACTTGACACTCATCATGTTGTAGCTTCAGTTCTGGGCAGGGGCGGCTCCCCATTTCTCTGGGAGGCTTCCTCATTCTCCACAGTTCAGATGATCCCGAGAAGGGAGTTTATGCAACATTGTGTGCTCACATTGGGGATTTGACCCGGAGTCAGTACACAACTCAAGGGGAGGGGTTACCATCCCCAGAGAGGTTCACACCCTCCACCCCTGGAGACTATCCTAGAGTACTGGATAGAGTGGCCATGAACTGGGAAAGCTTGAGACATGGATTGTAGCTTCATCCCATAGCCAACATCAGGGAGGTAACCTAGTGAGGTCCTCACCCAGAGAGACCCAGATGTCTCTACAAACCTGGTAGGGACAAAGTCCTAAAGCCAGAACTTCCAAAAGACCACTTCTAATTCTAGGTGTGCATGGTTTCTATGAAAGTACCGCTGTCCTAGGATAACCTGGGTGATTAAGACAGCTCTGTGACAGTCACTGCCTTAATCTTTGGCACCTGCTAATCTGGCCTCAGGGCTTCTTGGGACCAGCACTGACAGACAGAGGTTGGTGCCAGAACAATGATCTATGCATGTGTACATGTGTGCACGTGGACACACACACCAAACATGCCACATGTAACAAATGCAATAAGTACATCCCACACGCGTGTATTCCACCACACATTGCACAATCCACAGAACAAACATAAAATATTCGCCTCACACATTCACCCCCCAATAAACATACCATATCAAACATAAGATCCATCAGACACAACACATGCATGTATACACAAACCACAGACATAGCGTATAGTGTATGTAAAACATACAACATATACGAACACACTAGACACTCACTGCACATTGTGCTGTCTTCGTCATCCAAAAATGCTGCCTATGACAAGCTGACAATGGGGAGGGGGCGAGGGGGTAACATGTCAGCTTTCAACACAGGTGATCCTAAACCTGGATTCCAAATCCCTATCTCTCTGGGAATCAAGAGAGGTGAGGTTAGTGGGGTTGGGCAAAGTCACTGTCACAGAGTCACCTTGCCTCTCTCCTCCTTTGGCACACAGCTGCAGTGGTAGGCCTGTCCATGACCTGCCTGTTCTCAAGTCTAGCTGGGAACTGGAGCTGACCTCCACTGAGACCTTCCTGTCATCTCCAGCACAAACTGAAGGCTCTGCTTGACAACTCCAATAGTGTATGCAGGATTTTACTGCTCTGTCAGCTTGTCCATCACTGGCCTGGGTCTGCTCACCCACCAGGTTTGGGGGGCCAGTGCCCTCCTGGAGCTGTGATTGTCAGCTAACATCATAATTTCTCCTCTTCCATCCTCAGGGAACTTTTCGCTGCCTGCTCTGTTTTAAATAAGAAAAGGATATGTGTTCGGAGAAAGTGCAGGCAGGAAGTCTGAGCCTGGGGTGACAGGAAGTCCCTCTGGCTGGTACCCAGGGCTCTCTAGGATATGGGCCTTTCCAGAGCCTTCAGGCTATCATAATAGATAGAAAAGACAGGAAAGGTGGTCCACTAAGGGCCCAGGCCTGGACAAGGACAAGAACATCGTGTCTGGAATTTGGAATACAAGCAAGAAAGTTATGGAGTTATGATGGAGAAAGCCCTGCGCTGTTCTAGCCATCCAGGAGGGAAGTGGAGGACCGATGATCACGGGGAGGGGAAGGGGTCAGGAGAACTGGGAGGGAAACAGAGGTGGAGTGACCATGCTCCTAGGGCTGGATCTGGGTGTCAGTAAGCTGACTGGGTTCTCCATTGGAGTCCCGATGTGGCCTCCCAGGCAGTGGCAGCCAGTGTCTGGGGAGGGGGAACTGTTGACCTGTGTGACTGATGAGTGAGCCCACAGAGGCTGAGGGACACAGGATGATAGATCAAGTTCTTCAGCTTTTAAATGTCAACCACCCAACACTTAAAGTCTAGCTAAGAAGAAAACAAGCTGAAATGTCCGTGAGGTGCAAACTGTGTATCTTGTCAGGATGAGTGTTACAGTAAGGTGGAGTTGGCCTTTGAGTATTTACCCCTGGCATCTGAGCTGTTTCAGGATGAGCTGACTTCTTGGGACACCTAAGTTCCAGGATAGCATTCCAGACTCTTGTACCCTTGCGATGTCAAATCCTCTCACCCTGGGTCCACCTGGAGGGAAATCTCCCTACTCTGGGTTTCTACCCATCTTCCTGCCCTGGGCTCTGGCTTTGTCATGCATTCAACCTGGGTAGGAGCTGCTGGGCAGTTCAGCCTGGCTGTGGATGCCTGTGTCTGAGGTCATGGGATTTGGGTGAAGAGTCAGGAGCATCTGCTTCTGATTTAGACACTGTGTGGACAATAGCCAGGGGAGTGGAGGGTGAAAGACCCTGAACCACTTTACTCCAAGGTACTCCAAACATCCTAATGCAGTAGCCTTCCAGTGGGACAGCCTGGCCCAGAAGACTCTGAAGACAAGAGATTTGCCTTAGGTAGATGGGACACCCCACCAGGCAGATGACTGTGTTTCTCAAGCAAAGTAAAGCTTAGGTGGCATTTTGAACATCCACGTCAAATATAGAATCATAAAAGAATGAAGGAGAAAGGTGAGCACTCATATTTCTAAAGTGAGGAAAAGGAAGTCTGACCCAGCAGGCAGGGGTGGTACACACCTTTATGCCTGGCACTTGGGAGGCAGAGGCCGCTGCATTCCTGAGAGTTCAAGGCCAGCCTGGTCTACACACCAAGTTGTATGGGTTACAAAGTGAGACCCTGTCTAATAATAAAAAAATAATAAAATAAATAAAATAAATAAATAATAAAATAATAATAAAAAAAGGGGGGTGAGGTGGAGGAGCCTGGCCCAGAACCCAGTGCTCTCTAGGAAGAGGGAAAGCTCTGGTTACATACACTATTAAGAATTTGATGCAGGAAAAAAAACATTGCAAGCTCAAATAGAGATTCTGTAGTAACAGAACAAAATCCCAAAATGAAAAAATTGACCTTTTTTTATTAAGAGCCCTTTGGCTAATAGAGCCTTTACCTGAAAGACATGAGGAACTGGGTTCCATGCCCAGCACCACAAACAAATAGGTAGGTAGCTAGGTAGATATATAAGGGATAAGATCAAGATACATTGTTTACAAGTACGAAACTGTCAGAGGAGAAGTAAAAGATAATCTATTTTAAAATTATTTTTTTTAAAGATTTATTTATTATATGTAAGTACACTGTAGCTGTCTTCAGACACCCATATGAGGGCATCAGATCTCATTGTAGATGGTTGTGAGCCACCATGTGGTTGCTAGGATTTGAACTCATGACCTCTAGAAGAGCAGTCAGTGCTCTTAACCGCTGAGCCATCTCTCCAGCCCTATTTTAAAATTCTAATAAGTAAATAAATCGAATCACATACATGTTTATAACTCTTGCCTGAGCAATCAGGGTTTTATCCTGAAATCCAAGTATCAGGTGTGGATAAGGATTTACGTAGGAAGGAGCTGATTTCAGCATCGTTATGAAATGTCCCAGAGCTGTTAACTAGGTCATGGCATGGCGTCTTCAAAGAAGAGCAACTTTCTGTGGGGTCAGAAAGGGATGAACCTCAGGCACTGTGGTCATGGACAGAAAGGAGAACATAAAATTGTATAGTGTAATCCCAAGTCTCATTTAAAACAAACAAAAATGCATTTGTGACTGTGTGCATGTGAGTCTGGTGTGTGGTTGTGTGTAGGTATGCATGTGTCTGTGCACAAGTATGCCTGTGAGCAAGGGTGCATGCTGTGTGAACACACATGCATATATGCAAAAAAAAAATCTCCACA